AACATAGTAAGTATGAACCCATTTATTAAAGTTACTCAGACTGTTTTAGGGGGGAACTTAGAGTAGGGAGGGGATTTCCCCCTTTCCCACCCCCTGTATAGTAGTGTAGTACATGTATAGCATAAATGAAATGAGTTGAGAGGATGAAAGCATTTTTATATAATATGAAGTGTATACATGGGCATTCAAACTATTTTATTATTTAGAATGAACCACTCACTATGGCAGCAAGTAAAGGACATCATGATATAGTATCTTTATTGCTCTCTAAAGGAGCTGATCCAGACACTGTAGATAAAGTAAGTATTGGGTTTTTTATGTACATGTATACACATCACAAAATAGGAGCTACATGTATGTGGTGCTGTAATTTAGCCAGTTTTTCATTAATTACTTCATGTTCATTAAATGTACTTCATGTTCATTAATGCATGTACATTAGAATAGCAGAAACATGTTGTTTTTTGTCGACTTGAGCATAGCAACAAATAATTAACACTTAAATAATTTATTACTATCTAATACCACACCTGTTCATAATTTAATTGATTACTTTACTTGTTCCAAAGATGATCTTGTACTTAATTTATAGTTTTGCCTTCTTGTATCACATTTAACGGCAGCTACATATCAGCATGCACATCAGAAATTTGTAGTTTGTAAGTTTAATGAGTATTAATAATGATTGATTACGAGTTGTAATTGGAGCTAGATATACATGTATTTATGGAGGAAGTAGTTGTAATTATTAGATTATTATCTTTTTTACAAGTTTTCACCTGTAGTTTACAGTACATGTGAAAGAAATAATGTGTCCTACATGATCTCAATTTTAGTGCAGTGCTAAATTTTAATAAAAAATTAATGATTTGTCATTAGTTAAAAGTTTTGGCAGTAATTGGATCAGTTGTGATAAAAATTATTATAGTGTGCTTTGTACTTGTAATGATCAGTAATCACAAGAACCATGATACATTTCTGCTTGTGTACTCAAGATAGCAATTGCTCAGGTTTTCTCAGCCAAATTTTTTGTTCTCTAATTAAGCTCCAAAATTGAATATTAAACCTAGGAAATTACAAAAACACATGGAGTAGATGAGTGCAGTTCCTTCACACAACAAAAATTATGCCACCAAGTTGAATTCCCCACCCAATATAAAGTTTAACCTGACAAAGAGCCACTATACAGTAATTAAGTTTGGCTTGTGTCACTGTTTCTTGTTACTGCATTATGTTCACTTCATTAGTTCATGTCCATATTATGTGTAGTGTAATGTAACATTCTAAAACACACTATGTATACAAGTATGTACATGTATATGTACATTGTATATACATCTCCTTGTGTTTAACTTTAACATTTGCATATTCTTACATTGTTACTATAGTTTAATTCACCACTGATTGAAGCAGCAGCAAAAGGACATTATCAAGTGGTGGAACTTTTATTAACCAAAGGAGCTGATCCAAACTTAACAAGTGAAGTGAGTTACTAACAACATGATAATATATAGATAGTTATAAAATTAAACTTAGTATAAATCTTACATGTTTAGTATACTGGTACACCACTGACTGTAGCAGCAAAAAAAGGAAATCATCTTGTAGTTGAACTTTTATTATCCAAAGGAGCTAATCCAAACATTACAAATGAAGTGAGTGTTGTATAGCAGGAAACTTTGGAGGAAATTAAATTTGGCGAGTTTGGCATTTTGATAGCCATTCGCCAAAACAAAAATCTGCCATTTTGAGCCATTATGTTGTTGCGTTGTAATAATAAGAAATTAATTTACAAAACTCAACTGTAAATGTATGTGTTAACACACTTAATAATAACAGATGAGAGTTAGAGTGGAAGAGACAGTGAATATTAATAATGATGAAATTGATAAGCACAATATGTATGTGAGCAAGATATGTGTGTGATTATAGACTTATCGATTGGGGTAGTCGAGAGAATTGAATGAGAGTCAGATGAGAGTCTGATAGGAGATCGAAAGGAGGTCAAGCATTGAGAATTTGAAGATGATGAGTGTTCGAGAATTTAGACTAACAGACTAGGACTAAGACTAACTGAATTACAATTGGGTTCTTCCTTAAATAGTAGTGCATGTGGTTATTAAATTAAAGTTAAGTTATTAGTTGTAAATTATTATTGAAGTAAATTAACACTACAATGTGCATGCTCAATGGCACATTGCCACAAATTTGCCAGATTAAATTTCGCCAATCACCAAAATTTAGCAATTTGCCAAGTTTAACTCCCTCCAGAATTTCCTGTTATATAGTATAAGTATTGACAATTTAATTATTTATAATTGCATCATTGTATTTGTTTCAGACATGTAAACCATAATATAATGTTATATTACTTGTGTAGTGTTCTTTTTATATTATAATGAAAATAAATGTTTTAGTTTATGCATGTATGTTCAATTGTACATGTGCTGCCATAGATCAGGAAATTTTTGTGTTAAAAATAATTGCTGTAATTTTTTTAAGTTTTGTTATTTTTGTTGGTTGACCAATCCATGAAATTTTTTAACATAAAAAATTCTGGATGCATCATAAACTGGAAACATGGCTATTTACTCTTGATACGATGGACAGGAAGTTGCTCATGACAGCACTGAATTAACAGCATTGAAGGACGTACAGCATTGAGTGGAAGTTTTAGGACTTCTTTGTGATGAGTTTATGTAGACACAGTTGATGACTTAACAGCTTACTAATTAATCTTAGTATCTTTAATCAGAGCCAATAAATGAATAAACAAGGGAGTGAGAGAGAGAACTGAGAGGTCTGAGGGAGAGACAGACTGAGGGTTCAATTTATAGTCTAGCTACAGAATGTTCTAGAAACA